CTCTCCATTTAAACCTCTAATGCTGTTGCGTGGTAAAGTAGCTTCCATTCAGCCATGCGATCTAATGTAATTAATTATAAATTGTTTATGACCTGATGTGATCCACAATCGGATTTGTTTCTGCAGCCTGAAATGGAGATGGTGGCTCGGGGACTCGCAAGGAATTTGAAAGTGGAGCAGAGGGAACTGTTAATGAATATGTTTATGGGGGTCTGCAGTGAAGAAAGTCAGAGAAGTGCAGCAGATGCTCTTGGTTTGGTTTGTCCACGTCTCTCTTTTCCCGATTCATTTTTTATCTCCTTGAAAAACTTTATAATTGTGATGAACCTTTTAGCCAATATTAAAAAAAATAATTAACCAATTTTTTATTTTAGTTTTTTGGTATTTAGATGTTTCACTCACCTCTTACTAATTCTTGTCTGTTTTTCTTTTGTAGATGCCCTCCGCTGAAGGAGTTGGTGATCAATAATATCAGCGCATTAAGGATACACGGAAAGTAGTACATTTTATAGTTACCTGTATTCTTTGCAACCCAAAACCTCTCATAGTGTATACATTGGCTAATAATCAATGCTGTTTATTTTCTTAATCAACTTCTTCTATCTTCTTACTGTTGTCTGTTTTCTCAGTTTTCTTGGTGATCTTAATGGTTAGCTTAGCATGTAGGTAATGCATTTAATAAGAAGCGTGATGTCATGATATTAGTTTTTTTTTTTTTAAAGAGTATTTATTAGAAAATATATTGAAATAATATTTTTTATTTTTAAAAATTTATTTTTAATATCATTATGTCAAATCAATTCGAAAACACTAAAAAAAAAAAATAGTTTAAAATAATGAAAAAAATATTTTTTAAAAATAGTTTAAAATAATGAAAAAAATATTTTTTTTTTAAATTGCTTTCTAAATACGAAAACCTGATTCAGGTCGAAAAGACGTAAATTTACCTTATTGAGTGCATTTTATGATAATGCTCATCATTATCGCAACGACAAGGAAGGCTTGTTGATGTGAGACTTGGGATAAAAATTTGTGAAACCATAGTCTAAACAAGTCTTGTTTCAATCGGTAGTCAAGGACTGCATTGGAACTTTTTGAAAATTATAATATTAATTTAGAAAATCTCAAACTATAAAAGCTGAAATGGAATATTACTAAATTTACAGAGGTTAAGATATGATTTACTCGTTGAGTTCTTACATGAATTCAGCTCGTACTCAAGCATGGTTTAACAATTTGATGGTTTTGGATTATCACACACAACTATTTTTATTAAAATAAAAATATTTTATTTTTTAAAATAAATAATTTTAGGTGTTAATGATTTTGATTAGCTTCACACAACTTACTAAAAATCTAATCTGTTTAAATTAATTAGGGTTTTTAGATAAATAATTGATTTTATAAAGTTAAAAGCTTGTCTAAATATTTATGAGATTAATTAAGATGGATGTAAACTGACTCGAATATTTATATTAATTAAAAAAATATTTATTTAAATAAGTTGAGATAAATAATTGATTTTATAAAGTTAAAAACTTATCTGAAGATTTATGAGATTAATTAAGATGAATGTAAATTTACTTGAATATTTATATTAATTAAAAAAATATTTGTTTAAATAAGTTGATGATTTAGAAAATAGAAATTAATTTTCATATGGCGTATATATTAAGGAGAGGAATATGCCGGACAGAAACACGCGAGCACCCCTCTTCTTCTCGTTTCATTTATTGTTACTGCTACTCCACTTCTCTCAAATCTCAGGTCTTCTCTCTCTCTCGCTCTTCTCCTCTCCCTGTTGATTTCTGTTTGGTCGCCGAGAAAATACAAAATCAGAAAGAAAAACTTGGGATATCTTCTTTTCTTTTCTCAGCATCCAAACACGGCTTCTTTCTCTCACTGTTTTATCTTCTCTTAATTGATGAAATGAATAATCATTCCGATTCGATTTGATTTCTCTCTCTTGCAGGTAGATCGTTCTAGAAGATCTCTTTCTTTTCTCTCTCTTTCTCTCGCTCGCTACCAGATTATCGAGGTAATGATGAGAAAATACGGTTTTGCACTTGTAGATCTTGTGCGATCTTAATTTGTGTACTTAATCCCTAGTTAAAGCTTATTTTGTTTAATTTGATCCTAATTGGATCTGATTTTGGTTTTCATGTTCTTGTGCAGTGGAAGTGATTGCTACGTGAAGAATCAATCAGCAGCTTTAAGAATGGTTTCCTTTGAAATGAATGACCGCAAAAGTGAGTCTAATTCTATCTTCTTTCTTACGACTTGCTATTTGCATGAATGCGTATTTTTTAATCTTTAGAATTTTTGTTTTTAGCTAACTGTGTTTGTTTTGGCTTGAGATTTATTGAAAGTTGACAAAAAGTCCTAGTAGTTCTCGCAGTCGAGGTGTTTACTTGGTTGAAAAGGCATGTTATTGTTACTAATGAGTTTGAGAAGTTATTTCCTTGTGAAAAAATAAATGAAATAGTTACTTACTGTAGAAGTTGTATTAGTCTTGTAACAACTAACTAGGTTGGCTGATTTTAGAATTGCTTTAAGTAGTCACGATAATGGATTCGAACCGAGGAACCTTATATGGGAAATATATGTTAAATATATACATTTCTGTGGTTTGATGAAAATTTGACAAGCTTGAACTGATTGAGGAGTCTTAAGCAGTTCTAAAGCTATGTGATAGTCAGTGTACCTTGTGCTCCTAGCTATTGCCTTCTGTTGATTCAATGTTCTCGTGAATAATGGCCTTGTCTATGTGACTCTTAGTATGAATTATAGGGAGCAGAAGAATAGAAGAAGGAATGAGTTTTTGATTACATATATTTGGTATGCTATACAATCTTTCAAAATTCTTACACCTCATGATTTTGGTGAAATGAATTAGAGATTGGGCTGGGCTTGACTGGATTTGGCATATTTTTCTCATTCCTGGGAATTGTCTTCTTCTTTGACAAGGGATTACTTGCGATGGGTAATGTAAGTGCCCTGCCAAGCATGTCCTCATATGTCATCTAGTCTCGTTTTCTTTTGTTATGATATCAGTTTAATGGTGCTTCTTTCTTTGTGGCACTTGATCAGATCCTTTTCATCTCTGGAGTCAGTCTCACTATTGGACCAAAATCTACCATGCAATTCTTCATGAAACGCCAAAACTTTAAGGTGGCTTATCTCTGTGTCTGTGTGCACATGTGAACTTTGCATCAGCTGCATGTATTTCATTCTCTCTCCACACTTGTGCTTTGCTGGTTATGCAGGGAACCATTTCATTTGGTGCTGGCTTCTTCTTTGGGGTCGTAAGACGGCCAGTTATTGGCATGATTTTGGAAGCATATGGGTTCATTGTGCTCTTTAGGTCAGTTGGATATTTATCTAAATGGTTTGTGGTTATCTGCCTTACTTCATCCGGTTGAAGATTCTGACAGGAATTTTCCACAGTGGTTTCTGGCCTACACTGGCAGTTTTTGTGCAGAGGATACCCATTTTTGGATGGGTGTTCCAACAGCCTTTTGTGAGATCGGTATGTTTACTTTGGAACTGAAAATAAAAACATTTCTTGTTGGACTTTCATCCTTGTAGATACCTTCTTTTTCGGTGAGAGTAACTGGACTGTTCTATGTCTGGATTTGGTTTTGACGTCACTATGTTTGCTTGCATTGGACGAGCAAAACCAATGGCAGTAAAAGCAGAATCTGGTCTCGGTCAAGCCTGATAATTTTAATACATTCTTTATTCACAAACACCTTACTGTTAGAAGCTGGTCTAATTTTGTATTTTGATGTGCAGTTATTTGATCGATATCGGGGCAAAAGAGTGCCTGTGTAAATGCAGTGTCAGAAGGAAGTGCAACTAAACTCCAGATAACCCCACGTCCTAGAGTTTGTAAAAAACAAGATATAGTCAGCTCCAGACATAATCTTTTTGGCACATGTAAGGATGACTGTTAACTCTGGAATCAAAGGGTAAGTGCAACTAAGCTGCAAACACATTTGCAAGCCATTGTAAAATACAGGGGAATCAAGACCTTGAAGTTTCCGTTCTGTTTGGGTGACCAACGATTCACTTTCATTTGATAATAGGCGTGTCTTTTGTTGAATGAAACAGAAGAAAATAGACTCAGCTTATTCTTATACCATTCTGTAGGTGTTTCTCTTTTCCCTGTTATTGTGTAATTAACACACTAAATGTCATGTCTAGTATCCTTCTAATGATAAATGTCATGTCAGCTGTTACTGAATCTTGCCTGCTGCTGTTTTTTCTTGGCTTAGATGATTTCCTTTTATGCTTATCGAGCCAAGAGGGAAAGTCAATGAGATTCTGTCTTTGCCTTTATAGATGCATGCGTGCATGTAAACGTTTTCTATTTCTTGATTCCGGGTTGGTAAGTAATCCACATTTCCCTTTAATTGCTACTTTCGCCTAGAAATGGACAGCTGTTTGTGCGCGCGCGCGCTGACGTCCAGGACTATTGCCAGCAGCGCTATCAAACTCAATGCGGTGAGCAGACGAAACTATAGTTACTAAACTTGGTCTTGCGGGTTGACATGATAATCTACTGATCTGGCACCTAAAGCGAGTTTTATTTTGAATCACTTTGGATATTGAAGATTCTTGGCTTAGATGATTTCCTTTTATGCTTATCGAGCCAAGAGGGAAAGTCAATGAGATTCTGTCTTTGCCTTTATAGATGCATGCGTGCATGTAAACGTTTTCTATTTCTTGATTCCGAGTTGGTAAGTAATTCACATTTCCCTTTAATTGCTACTTTCGCCTAGAAATGGACACCTGTGTGTGTACGTGCGCGCGCTGACGTCCAGGACTATTGCCAGCAGCGCTATCAAACTCAATGCGGTGAGCAGACAAAACTATAGTTACTAAACTTGGTCTTGCGGGTTGATATGATAATCTACTGATCTGGAACCTAAAGCGAGTTTTATTTTGACTCACTTTGGACATTGATTCAGCCAATTCTAAGTGACATGAAGGCATTGAACATATCCACCGGACATGAACACTCCCACACAGTTCTCCATTCTGTTTCAGAAGGCTTTTCATACTGGTATTACATTTCACGATAATCCTTTCGGATATTCGGCCTTCTGCTTGACCTTCTGGCTAAAGGTACATCAGGGACTTCCATAATTTTCTCCGTAGATGTGGTAGCCCGGCTATCTTTCCGATCACTTGTATTCATCATCCCACCGGAAAGGTTCTTAGTGGTCTCCGACGTTGAAAGAAATGCAGATGATGGCAAAACCTTTTCTGGGTAGTTTCTGAGTGCTTTGCAGGAGACAGTAGGGTTTGATGAGGGACTTTCTTCTCGTATTTCTCTAAAATTCCTCCGCCTGGACATGCTTCTTGTGACGATTCCTCTGCTTGGTGTAATGCTACGTGGAATTATACCTCCATCTTTGTACTTCCTGTCAGCCTTCCTCTTATTTCTCCTTGGAGTTTCATCCAGCACAGCATTTGCCACGGTGACTGGATCCTTTGAGTCTGGACTGGTTGACAATGGAGAGAGCTCGACATCATTGCTGCAGAAATGATCTAGGATATCAGCAAGTGCACAATCTTTGGAATCTCCAAGAGGATGCGTTGCAATATCACGGATCCTTGTCACCGGGAGATCATCAAAAGAAACGGAGGCGGCGCTTGCGCTGGTACCAGGAATTTTGGGCTCATCAAAACCCCATTTTCCGGGAGGACTGCCTCTGTTAGCAGACTCTTCACCACCCAATTGGGTGGCAAGTTCTAACCAAGAATATGGAAACCCCAGTTGGAAATGCTCACAAATCTGCTCAAAGCAACAGTTCCGTTTTCGTGTTCATTAGAAAATCAACAGTTGAACTTAAATACAACCAGAGCATAGTCATCTCTCTATCTAAAAACCTGCATCCAATTTGATTTTCCTTCTTTGCGTGCACAAATTGTAGACATATAAATGTTCACTCAAAGCAAAAACAAGTTAGGTTATATTCAGGAATGTGGTATAAAAATTTAAATTTATTTATTTAAAAATAATATTTTTATTGTTTTTATATATTGATATAAAAAAATACTTAAAAATTATTATTTTAATATATTTACAAATAAAAATCACTTTTGAAAAATAATATTAATTATAATAACAGCATCTTCACACTGCAAACATAAAGAACAATAAACAAAAATACACAGCAACAGCAGCTCAAATTTCTGAAAACAAATAGCACAGAACACCATATATGATTTGAAGCACAAAATCAGAGTATAAGCCTGAACGAAAATGAGGGCACACCTGGAATGAAAACCCATTTTCACGCGTTCGATCTCTATTTATGAATCCACTAACTGTAACAGTGACGCCATCTTTGGTCTCAAGAATGGTGGCATAATGTCTTCTGACAATCGCTGCCGAGCAAAACAATCTTGTTCCTACTCCTCTATGGCCATCAAATCCAATGCAAAAACCAGACAAACACAGCATTAATTCCTTGCTTACTGATCATCAAAAGAAAAATGGAGCCAAGTTTATAGAATAATTTATGCCCAAATACAAACCTAGAAAAAAAAAAACATTGTAATTGTAATTAAATTATATAATCAAAGAAATAATACTAAAAAGTAAATTAACAACAACACAAACTAAATAATCTGTTCACTTACTCTCTAAAAGTAAACCCAGAAACAGCTAAGCCATCCCCTTCTGCCTTGGCCAGCCACCAATCATATAACCACACCTGCAAAACATAACCAGATAACCATAGATTTGTCCAAAAAAGAAAACCCATTAACCAGAAACACCATTTATGTATTTACACATAAAAATATATATATCAGCCAGAAAAAAAAAAAAACCACGATAGAAAGAAAGGAAGAAGAGGGAAAGGTTACTGTACGGATTTAAGAGATAAAGAAGAGACAGGGGTGATATTGTTCGGCGTTCTTGACTTAAGATGCGACAGAGAACGATGCAAGATTTTGGTTAGTGTAGCTGGGGTAGTGGCACTGCTAGATGCTTTCCTTTTCGGGTCAGTCGACATTTTTCCGGGTCGGGTCTTCTCTCTTTCGGCCCTCTGACGGCGTTGATGTGAGTTGCCGAAATTGGCGGGCGTTTTTGCCTCGAATGATACCGCGCCAAAATAAATATTCCATCTAATCAAGTACCCTGAAAAAAAAATAATAATAATAATAATACCCATATTATAATTTCAACTAAAGTAAGCTGATTTTATTTGAATAATATGAAAAGAAAAATAATAAATTAAAAAAATATAAAACTGATAATGTTTAATTTTTTAATTAAATATAAAAAAATAAAATAAAAAATAAATTAAAAAAGTCAATATAAACCAACACGAGCTAATATAATAAATATGTTACATGAGTATTAAAGGTATTAAAGGGTAAGTTAATTTAAGTTAACTTATTAAACTTATATCTAAGTTTATGAAATCAAGATAATTGAATAGAAATTTTTTTTATAAAAACCACAAAGTCATATATATATATATATATATACACATACATACATAAATACGTGTGTCAAATTATACATGTATATATAAATTCATTGCTGAATAATAATATAAAAAAATAAAATAAAAAATATGTACTATAGCCTAATCCAAATTTATTGCTGAATGATAATATAAAAAAATAAAATAAAAAAGATGTACTATAGCCCAATCCCTAAGAAAAAAAATGTGTAATGATAAAATAAAAAAACAGAAAAATATTTTAAATAAAAAATAAAAATAATAAGGGTTAAAATCAACATAAAAGATAAATTAGAGGGTAACAACAAATTCTCAATTTAAAAGTTAAATTGAAAATAATTAAAACATTAATAAAGGGAAAGAAAAATCAAAACAATAAAGATTAAGATGATAAAAATAATATACTATAAACTTGGATTAAAGGATAAAATTGAAAATAATAAAATTTATATAAAAAAAACCAAGAAAAAATATCAAGAATAAGAAAAATAAAAATCAAATTAAAAGCATTGATAAAATTGGAATTGAATTACTAAATTAAAAAAAAAATCCTTGATCAAATTAAAAGCATTGATAAAACCTTGAAAAGACATAAAAATCCTTGATTAAAGGCTATGTTTTTTTTATATACTTTAGGGTATTTTAGTAATTTTATTGCACATTGAAAAACATAAAAAACCCAAACCACCCCTAGACACCGGGCATATATTCCTTGATTTAAAGAGCATTTTAGTATTTTTAGTATTTAAAAAATTAAAAAGACCCTCTTAACTTTATAAGTCAGGCCACTTACTATCTGATTGAAGGGCAAAACCATACTTATAATATTACAATTCATAACGTCATTGAGTTTATAGCTATAAAAGAAAAAGAAAAAAAAACATTATGGATATCATCCTTCCGTTTTACCTTTTATATATACATATAATAAAAGGTATTTACATTTTCACTTAAAAAAACTTATTTAAGTTGTACGAGAACAATAAGCTATTAACTCAATTTAAAGGGATAAAAACACATCATTTTGACTTCTTTTTTTAAATATAAGAAATTCAATGGTTTTTTTTACTAAGTTTTACCCGGATCAATTGGATTGCAAAATTATTGAATCACATGTTAACTCAAATTTTTCTACCCTTTTTTTTTAATCCGTACTAATCCAAACTTCCAATTAATGGACTTTTCGAGCCAATTTGGATTTTATAATTACCTCACATGTTATGATGTTTACTGTTGTTCTCCTCTGTGTTGGGGTATGCCAAGGTTCTCTGCGGTTCATGCTGGAGGAGCATAAACAAGATTTGTTGCATGAACCAATCAATGAGTCTTCTCTATATAAATCAAATTTGTTGCATCAGGCTGGAGTTAACTGGGTCAGCCATTTGACCCAATTCAAACACAGCAAAAGAGAAGGCAATCCCACGCACACAGACAGACACACTCTTCCCAATATATGGAAATATGCTCCTTCAAATTGACATGGTTTGGTTGAACTGCTAAGCTTCAGCTTTCAGACTGACCGAAATACCTGCCTGAAATTGTTGCAAGAATATTCAGCATGATAACCTCATCATCAAGTTCAGATTTGCCAACTCGCAAGCTAGCGCATTTCCGGAGGAGACCACGAAGAGCAGCACACGTGTCAGCATCTAATGGAGCATCAACTGCTGCACATAAGGCAAACAGCCACACACGATCATTCTTGGACAATCGAAGTTTCTGCCAATTTTATGCACTGCCTCAGCATCGAAACTCGAGCAACACTATCCATAGCTAAAATGACAGGTAAGGTAGGGTAGTTGCATAAAGCATCACTGGAAGAAGCTTCATGAGTTGGATGCTGAGAAGGTGTTAAGCTTCTTCGATCTTCATGATTTTCCATGCATAGCTGATCAATGATGCTCTCAGAGCTGGGAGCATCGGGCTGTTTACAGGATTGGACTTCATCAGTTCTAAGGTTATTGAATTTTTCGACAATAATGCTTTCAGAAAGCTGAGGGGAACAACTCCCATGAACAATAATAGCTGCTGGTTGCATCTTATGGGAAATTTTAGTGCTGGGACCGTCATTTTGAGAGAAAAACTGAAATTCAGTGAAAGAATAACGAAGTCAGTTCTCTAAATTAGCGCTATACATGTTCTATTATTCTTGTTATATGATTATGACCTAGCAAGCAAGCCTTAACGACCTTACATGTTTTTTCCAGCTATATGCAGAAATGAATACTATACAGTTTTCCTTCTCTAATGTCAAAAATCCTCCCTCGAGTAAAACAAGCACTTTTCATTTTTGAAGGCATGATTTCTGGTAAAAAGGATCAAATGATACATCTCTCGCATTAATTAAACATGCAACATTCTATAAAACTACAGACAAATATTTTCATCAATTCTCCAAGAAAAAGAGATAAAAGTTCATTTCAAAGAGAGGTGAACAGATCAATGGAGAAATTTTTTACCCCTTTTCGGCTAAAGCAGACAAATAGAGTTTGTTTACAAGCTCTGAAAAATCAGCAAGAAACATATCCTCCCCCTGCCTTGACGGCAGTAAATATTCTGGGCACTTGGCAATGTCAGGAATCTGGGGCATATAAACAGTTTGTTCTTTGTTAACTCTACTCCAATCAAGCTTGGCTACTTTACTTTCGGAATGTGAGCAGCCTCCCACCTAAACAGAAGAAGAAAGAAATATCAGTTAACTGGGAAAGGAAAAAAAAAAGTAGGATATATAACTGGGAAAGATATACCAGTAAGACTTTAGCACACTAGCATCAATAACTGGGAAAGGGAAAAAAAAAGTAGGATATATAATGGTACCTGACACGCCTGAGGTATTCTAATCCGTCCTCTGGAGGTCCAGAATCAAAATCTGGTTCTCCTTCTACAGCAAAAGCAGGTCTCTGTATGCTAGCATAATCAGTGTCACTGTCATCTTCTTCATCATACTCTTCCACCGAAAGTGTAGCAACACCTTCACCCTCAATACTGCTACTGCAAGCAGGATTCAATAGATCCAATTTTGCACCCCATCTCCTTCCATGTTTTCTAATCCATCATCCACATTTTCAGATGATTCTTCCCCTGAGATTAATCTCAAAATTTAGAATCCCTCGCACATTTTTTTTTAAAATGGTAATCTTGAACTCAAAATAAATATATAAATAAATAAACAGCACAAAGATATTTCAGCCAGAGAGATGAGAAAATGGTGAGGAAATAACTGTAACAGGTACAGCATTCTGTGCATTCACCAAAAAGTAGCGGGTTGCATCTCTTTATTAGATTTTAATCACAAAAGAATGTAATTGAACATGCTGTACAATGACACAAAGGTCCCAAGAGGTCTAGGCTGGCCAACAGAAAGAATTTCTATGTACAATGACTATATCCAAGTAGCATACACACAGCAATCATTAGCCTAACAGTTCAACAGATATGTGCGGATATGAATAAGGACTTTAGCCAGATTCCCTTGGGCTACTCTTCAAAGTGCAAATACATTCAATGGTTCCATCTTCCCCTCGCTGCAACCACACCTGCCCAAACAGAAAGTGAACCAATCAAATAGACAAAATAAGAGCTGAAATCAGAAGGGAATGGATGGAGAATCTGATTTCGACATCTTTATTATGATTTTACCTCTTTTATTTTCAAAAGAAGGGAGCTAAAAACCAGGAGGTAGAAAAGGAAGTGAAGGAAACAAAAACAACAACAAAGCCTCTATCCCAAACCAGTTGAGTAAAGGAGAGTGAAAATTAGAAAATAAAAATACATTAGAATTTTATGAAAAAAATGAGAAAATAAAATGGGAGGAAGAGAAAACAAAAGAATTGTAAATCAGATCTGCTGAACTCAAAGAAAACAACAAACGAAATTTCCATTGAATAGATGAAAAACAAACACAAGCACCAAGAATTTTGGTGATAAGAACAATGAGAAGCAAAGGAACCAACATGATCATCAAGAATAGATTTCTTGAGAAGCAAGGAACCAACATGATTGCTTTAAAACAATCAAGGGCCAGCGGCAGCTAAAGGACAAACAGCATTTTAGTAACAGAAGCCGCACAAAAGGCAGCTGTTTAAAACTCAGATTTTCGGGCATATCATTAAAGCATCATCTGCATAACCAAATAGCCAGGCTATTTGTTCTTCAAATCAACTGCTTGGCATTTCATCTGCACTCAATAAAAGCTCGACTGTTTGCAAGACCTGCTAGAGTTGACTCAAACCAACTATGCAGATATGGTGATGATAACATTCACCATCTTATATCCTAGAATGTCAATGGAGACCTGTTCTGGGCCAAGCGTGCAATAGTTGAAAATCTTACAACCTTTTCTTCTTAACTATAATTTTCTTTTCTTTTCTTTTCTTTTTTTCCCCACTCTCTCCCATCCAAAAAATGAATAATCTTAGGTTTGGGCAGACACTAGACACCATCACTCTTCATAGACTCTATTCAAAATGAACCGGTGAAGTTTAAACTGTGATACAGAAAGAATCAATGCACTTAACAGAGTTCGTAATAACAAGAGTGCATCAAGTCATTCCTATTTCATCCGAATAGCACGCCATAACACGATACATGTCAGTAAGCCTTTTACGTTGTGATCTTAAAATTAAGTTATATAGTGAGATGCT